CGGTCTGAGGTAACCCCCTTACCCAGTCCCCCGCCCAGACCGGGGGATCTGCCGCCCGACACGTCTGTGGGGAAAAGGGACCAACGGCCTCAGACTCCCGCTCGATCGTTTGCTCGTAGGAACTGAAACTGAGTTGCACTCGGCCTAAGTGCAGCTGTTTAAAATGCTTATCATGGGCTACAAAATACGGGTACAAAACCACGGTACGACAAAAGTACGAGAGCGCAGAGGGCTGGCAGACTCACGTTGTCAGTCACTTCAAAACAGAGACAAGGTGCTGTGCCTTACCATCATGCATGTGCCAATTTTGAGATGATTAACAAGCTTTATTTATTTATTTTATTTAAACCAATTGATCCAAATGCACATCTCTAGATGCTCAGGCTTGCTTGTTTCATTGTTGTTTAGCCATTGGAGTGTTTTTGTTTTTATCTGGAAGAGTGACAGTTGTACGATGTCTGACTAAAATGGCCTGTTTTCAGGAAAAGAACAGCTTTGAATAAGTTGCTATCACATTTTATAAAACCTCTCACATGTCAGTGAGTGGCTGTGTGGCCAAAGAAAGTACGGCAATCAGCCTGTTAAATCCACAACCTACACAGAAAATTAGGTATGCTAGTAGATTTAACAGATATGCTGTATCAAGGAATGTTAATGTTGTGCCTGAAGTATTTCAGAAGATATTTCATAGAATCATAGAATGTTTTGGGTTGGAAGGGACCCCTAGAGGTCATCTAGTCCAACCCCCCTGCAGGAGCAGGGACACCGCTAACTAGATCAGGTTGCTCAGAGCCCTGTCCAACCTGGCCTTGAATGTTTCCAGGGATGGGGCCTCCACCACCTCTCTGGGCAACCTGTTCCAGTGTTTCACCACCCTCGTGGTAAAGAATTTCTTCCTTATATCTAGTCTAAACCTACCCTGCTTCAGTTTAAAACCATTACCCCTTGTCCTGTCATAGCTGGCCCTCCTAAAAAGATTTTCCCCATCTTTCTTTCAGTACTCCCTTTAGGTACTGAAAGGCCACAATCAGGTCTCCCTGGAGCCTTCTCTTCTCCAGGCTGAACAACCTCAACTCTCTCAGCCTGTCCTCATAGGAGAGGTGCTCCAGCCCTCGCATCATTTTTGTGGCCCTCCTCTGGACCCACTCCAACAGTTCCATGTCCTTCTTGTACTGAGGGCTCCAGGGCTGGATGCAGTACTTCAGATGGGATCTCACCAGAGCGGAGTAGAGGGGCAGAATCACCTCCCTCAACCTGCCAGCCACTCTTCTCCTGATGCAGCCCAGAGTACGGTTGGCCTTCTGGGCTGCCAGCACACATTGTGGGCTCATGTCCAGCTTTTCATCCACCAGCACCCCCAAGTCCCTCTTGGCAGGGCTGCTCTCGATCCTTTTGTGCCCCAGCCTGTCTTGATACTGGGGGGTTACCCTGACCCAGGTGCAGGACCTTGCACTTGGCCTTGTTGAACCTCTTTGGATGCATCTTTCTTGTCATGGGGGCTGCACAGTGCTCCCATGACTGCTGCCCTGTGATATAAGTTCTGGGATGCTCAGAGGATAGTGTATCCACCTTTCTCAGTGTCTGAGTGATCAGTGTCCCTGTCTTTGCCACATCTAATTCTTCAGAAATCAAGTTTCAGCTTTAACACCACCACAAATGGTAATCCAGAAATGCACTGCTTCTTGCTGTTGCTGGTAAGCAAACATTTAATCTTGACTGCAAAGTTAATATTGTTTTATAGAAGCATAAAAAGTAGTGGAACAGGATAAATTGAAGAGGAAGGGGGTGTTTGTTTTTTTTTTTTTTTCCCTTCTGGTAGCTGTTAAGAACCTATCACTATTGCAGTAAATAGTGACCTCAAAAAAAAAAGTGTGATTATTTCTTTCATTTTGACAAGAAGCTATTAGCAAGGTAACTTTCTAGGCACAGAAGTGGGGTAGCGATTTCTTTTTGTATGCATATGGAGAAGGAGTAATTGCAAAGAACGAGTTTAAACATGGTACTGATGATGACATTTCAGTACCATGGATGTTATGGCTCTTGTGAAACTGAGTTTTCTGAAAATGACTTTACTACAGTTGGCCTTTTCTTTATCAAGAACCTCTAGCTTCCACCACAGATCTCTTCTTGCTGAGATTGATCGTTCTAGCACACAAGCTGTCGGGGATGCTAGCTAAGCTGTGTGCAACTGAATTGTGTGTTTTAACTGAGCGTTTTCTATGTTGTGTGTTTTCTGGAGTTGAAGAAAACATCACATCAAAAGCTGAACTTGAGCTAAACAGTTTTTGAGCACATTAAAAGCAATTCTCAATCTTTAGCTGAATGTATCAATCTTTTAATTAGGAAACTAATTAACATTCACTTATTGGAAGAACGCACGGGTGCTTCTTATTGACTTATGGAGACAATCAGATTGGTTTTAGTGAATCAGAAATACAACTTTATGCACATTACACCAGAAGTTTAATATATGAAAGCCATAATTAATTATCTGTATTAATGTAGTTTATATAAGTTCCTTGCATATTTTATGTCTTTTGAAATTTATTACTATTATTTATATTTATGCCTTATAGTATGAAGTATTTGTTAACATTTCATAAACTTGTGGACTGAAACAAGTAACAGCTGATGCATTTAACCTTGGTGTGTCACTGTGGCCAGTAAAGGTGGCAGCTGTTAGTTAATGCACGATTAGGTTATGTCAGACTTATGAGGTGAAAAGTTGATCTTTGAGTACTTGAGAGCATTGGCTTTTCTAGTCCTCGAGGGATGTAATGGATTTGAGTAATAAAGGTTTCCAGTGGTCAAGAGCTTATTCTGTGCAAGAGAAATAATCTTGATCTCTACCTAATTTTAACCAATAATGGTGAATTAGAAGAGAATAGCTGTAGTGCAAATACTGTTCAGTGCCTGCTTCCGGTTCTCCAGGGAGAAACTGATCTTTCTGGCCAAAATTTGAGCATAATAAACCATCAGTGAGACCCTGCGCTGTTTGAACATCATGGTTTTTTAGGGGATCGCAGAAGCTCTTCTAAATTCAGGGTATGGGCTGTTGTTCTGGTACATTATTACCGAATAGCTGACCTTTGAGTTGTATTTCTAGGCAGAGCAAACAAGTAGACTTCTTGGTGATCTGCTTATTTCTGTACTTTGAAAGAAGGAATGTTCAAGAGTTAGAACTTCATGGTGACTACCATGGAGAAAGTCATAATGCAGTGTCACGTGGTAAGTAATGATTGGTGAGGGTTTATTCTGCCTGCAATTAAAAGCTCAAGATCTAGATCTCTTAATAATATATTCAATAGTGCATTTCTGGAAAGTGGTTATAAATTCCTCCCCCTCCCCCCCCCCCATTAGAAATTGGGGTGTCTTAGTCAATATCATCTCGCTGCTTTATCAGCTGATATGGAAAGTTACAAATATTTTTTTCTCTTTTTAACAACCTTTATGTGTAGGAAGGCGTGGGTCTTGCAGGACAAAGTGCCTCCAGTGGCCAATATTTTCCAAATTTTACTATTTGCTCTCTTCCAGACCATGTCTAAACTGGCAGCAAAATCTTTGATATATTCACCCAGGAGAATCTTTATCAGAATTACAGATAGCGTTAGAGTAGAAAATTATATATTTTACAGTACAGATGGTACTCGTGATGATGGTATGAGAATTGCAGGTTTTGAAATTTAGTAATATTTTTTACTTAATTCAGCTTGTCATTCAATATAACTGCTGATCTTTCTCTGTTGACTCACTGCTTACCTGGTTATTCTCCATCTTGCATTTGTATTTTTGAATTCTGCTAAGTACACCACCACACAGTTCCCTTTACCAAAGTCTGTCTAATGGATTTTTAGATTGTATCTTCAATTTGTGAAAGTAATTGTGTATGCTCATCTTGTTACCAAGATTTTCTGCTTTCTTAGTTCAGTATTATCAGACTGTTTTTTTGAAAATACCCTTACTTTTGCATTCCTTTTAAGTGAAAGTGCTAACTAGAAGCAGAAGGGGTTTCAACAAACCCCATCCATGTCAGATTCAGATGGCATCCCACTGGAAATGCTCTCGGTGAACTATTGACTCAGCCTCTGAGAACAGATTAGTTTTGGGTGTTGTGCACATAACATACAGATAAAACATGTCTGTATAGTTCCTTTTGAGAACGTTTGGTGGGA